TACATCCTATGGTGGTTATGGAAATCCAGGAATCTTTGGAAATTTCAGCAAGTTTGGATGCCAGATCATGTGATTCTTGCTTCTGCCATGTCTGATTGGCAGGAATTTGGGTCTTGCCAGCTTTCTCGAGGTTGATTCATGATGGAGGATGTGTTGCTAGGTCCTTTGGGTTCAGTGGTGCACCTTCGTCATCTATTTGTTTTTATTGCTGGTTGTTGAACTGTTGTTGCTATTAGTTTGATCCTGGTCAATTGTATTTGGTTAGTAGAGGATTCAATTCCCACTGCCTCTATTATTTTCCTTTGTTCTTGTTCTTTTCTTGAGTTTAGGCATCTTGTTGATGGCCTCCTTTGTTTGTAGTATCTGAACTTATAGGGTCTATTCAGACTCTCAGATTGTAATTCTGTGTTCTTTGTTATGAAAATTCCTATCGTTTTGAAAANNNNAAAAAAAAAAAAAAAAATGCCGTTCAATAGAATGAACGAACAAAAGGGGCCCACCCGTTAATTGATGCCCCGCAATGAAATGAACGATATTTTGCCGTTTAAACGGGGCAAATTAATGCCCGATGAAGATGCTCTTACTGTGTATATAATTTTGACAATAATGCTAAGGAGCCAAGTGTTGGCTTCGTTACGGAGCCAACAACCAATGAGATAGCTCCATGTGGTACTGCCCCACATGACTCCAATGTGGGACAACCCCACATGGAGTTGTCCCATTGGCTGTTGGCTCCATAAAGGAGCCAACAATTGGCTCTTTAGCATTACTGATAATTTTGATCTTTTACTTTTTCAATTGCCTCTTTTTGTTCATTACTGTGTATACAAATTTGATCTTTTACTTTCCCAACTCATTTTCAAATAAATGAAACTTTACGAAACCAAAATTTATTATACATTTGCTCGTGTTTTTGAGGTAAATAGTGGTATTTAATTATGGTTCAAACCATAAATCATAATAAATTTACTCGTGTACATTATATAGATATAGATATTTATATTTTTAAACATATTTATTAATATTTAAATGTTTTCAAGAAAATAGAACACATAAGTTGTTCTAAAAAGTTTTATTAAAGGCGTGACAAAATTTTTGACCTCCAATATAGGTTTATTAAAAGTTTTAGTATGGTGGAAAAAAAAAAATAGAGATACAACAGACCTTGTTTGGCAATCCGCGGATAAAAAATATCGAATAACAGATTGTATCAGCGGATACCGGATTATATTAGTTTATTTGACGAGCGTATTGCATTAACGGTTTTTAAATAAGTGTTTGGTAAATAGTTGAAAGTTTATAGCTGTTTGACATTGCAAAATGACCAATAATGACATTTTATTGTTTAAGGTGTAGTTTTTTTAATAATAATATATTAAAACATTTGATATTCATTAGTTGGTAATTTACAAATATATTATTTTATTTATAAATTTACTAATACTTAATGAAGAATTATGAATTTTACATTTTCTAGATAAATTAATCATATGATGACATATTATTATTTATTAACACCATAAACCAATGTAGATTGTAAAATAAATAATACAAATTAAAAAGTTCCAAGTAAATAATTTTTGTGAATCTTCTATCCTAAAAAGTTGCTCTAATGAGTTCTTTCTAAATTGGAGTTTTGAGCCCAAAAAGCTTATCAAATAAGTTTTTACCAAACATGCTCAATAGCAAATTTGACGGGTCAAACCTCTCAATTAAGTCCAATCCACTAATTTATCTTCAATCCGCTATATTCCAAATGAGGCCACAATTCTGTGACCTCTTATACTCGGTAATTCAATCCGGCAAGGCTGAATAGTAATTTCATTTGATTTTGGGAAATTTTTATCCCTCCCACTAGATATTAAAATATTTTTAAATTTACCTTAAGGAAAAAAGTATTTTCATCTATACCTAAAACTGCTATTTTATTTAATAGATTGTATCCAATCGTGATCTTCCATTCAGAATCCATTCAGTTACCTTGATTTCCGCCACAACCAAGGGAAAAAAAACATGATCTTCAATTCAAATTCGAGTCAGTCCCTATTTTCACGCAACTTGTACATTGTAATTCAAGCAGCCGCTAGGTAATATATTTTGAGTTTATGTTAGTATATGTCCAGTGTATGTTGCAATATTATAATTCACGCAGCCGCCAGGTGGTGTATTTTGAGTTTATGTTAGTACATATTCAGTATATGTGCAATAAAAAGCAGATAACCAGAGAAAAAAAAGGAATTATTAAACAGATAATCAGAGAAATTACTTCGGATATACTCGGATATACCCAACATATACCCAACTCGGTTTTGTAAACGCAACATATATCATCATATACGCAAACGGTAATGATGGTATATGTATTGTATATATTTTCCATGATTTTACTAAACATAAACCATACATATACCGAAAATATACTGAATATAAACCATATATATAACGTAGAAAACGATACATATATAGTAGCTCTTATATTATAGAGAACATATACTCCATATATACACAACATATACCGCAATCTTTTGAAAAATAAACGGTTTTTACAAAGTGAAAAAGGCAAAAAAAAAATTCACAACCAGAGACCTCAATAATCCCCAAAAGTCGGCTGAAAATTAAAATCAACAGTTCAATACACGGTAATCTGGTCGTCGGGCCGGGTCTGCTCTTGTTGGTCGAACGTGGTTCGTCTTTGATGTTTTTTCGGTCGCGAAGGAGATCTCTCGGTGAATATGGAGATCCGTCGACGGCCATGGCTGTAGGCGGTTGATGGGCGGACGCCGGCGGCTGCACGCCGAACTGAGGCACGCGATGGCGGCGAATCGGAGAATTGCAGTCGTAACTAACAGAAAAAATAAAATTCAATAATCAAGAGGTAAAAGATGAAAGAGAGAGAACGATTTCAGCCTTGAGAGCATGAATCGGTTGAATCAACTGCAGCCCGTAGAATGGGATTTTGCTGGTAAACTTATTAGAGAAGACGAGCGTTGACAATTGCCGAGTGGAGTGTGTGCGGCGGCGATTTGGGATTTCAGAACACCGAGCAGCGATCGGAGAATTGGAGTGCGAGATTGCATGCGGTGGAGATGATTTCGACTTTTCGGTTAGGACTAAGGATTTGTGGTTTAGATTTTGGAGAATGAAGATGACAAAAAATTTGGAGAAGAAGATGACAGATGAGCCGATGAAGGGCGGATGAGCAGAGTAAATATGAATGGGCTCATAGGTATAATTAAAAATATTTGTAACTTTTTAGATAATTTTAAAAATAAATATATAAAGGGTAGAAAAGTGTAATATAATTTAATTGTGTTAGTATGGAGTGCAATTTCATCTTTGATTTTTTCTTCGCAAAGAAGTGCGGACGCTTTAGGTAACAAAATTAAAATGAAAAAAAATGAAGTTTTCGCATGAGGGGATCAAACCGCCGACCTTCTACTAGGAAATAAATAATATAAAATTATAAATAGATTGGAATAAAAAAAATAGAATAAATTAAATTAATATGATGAATTGAATATAAATATTTAATTAAAATGAAATAATAAGTTAAATAATAAAAATAAGACAAATGAAAATGAAATTAAAATAAGTACTAAGTTAAATGTTAAATGAAATGAGATTAGGTAAATATAATTAAAGAATAGCAAGATAAACGAAAATAAAATTGTGTGATGAGTTTATTTAAAATAAAAGAAGGTAAATCAAAATTAACTAATAAAATAAACCTGATTAAAATAATTTGAAAAATTACATTAAAATTAAATAAGAAAAATATTGAATATAATAATATATATATAGTAATAGTGAATAATAAGTAATACAAATAAGCTAGAATTAAATAAAATTTATAAATTGAAAATAAAAGAAGAAAAATAATCCATTTTTTAGCAACGAATTTTATTTATTTTTTGTTCTTGATTAATATTAATTTAGTAGCATAAAAATAATTAAAACAATAGAAAGTAAGACAAATGAAAATTAAAATAAATAAAAATAACAAAAAAATAAGTTGAATGAAGTTAAATAATAAATACAATAAATTTAGGTAAATGTATTCTAAATAAATAACATATAGTAAAATGAAATAGTATGAAAAATTTAATTAAAATTAAATAAGGTAAACTGATATAGAAAAACAACATAAACGAAATTTAAATAATTTGATAAATACATTCAAATTAAATAAGATAAATTTAATTAAACAACAAAAATTAAGATGAACAAATAAAAAATACCAAAAATTTTTAGAATATGTTGTGATGCAATACCAAAAATCTAAGTCATGTTGTGACGCAATACCAAAAATCAAGTCCTACGATAAAATTTCTCACTATGATAGAGCAACAATGTATCAAAGTACCAAAACGACAAGTCTACACAGCACGAATTAACCAACCAGAAGATTTAAAAACCCAATTATAAAGACAATCAATATCTTTCATTGAATTTTGAAAGTAGAAGATTTTGATAACTGCTTCCAGCAAAAGCTATAATTTCCTTATTTTTTATCTGCTTCTCTGTCTTCAAAGATGCCTGTGATAGTGTGACCAAAAAAACCAAAGTCAGCAAAAACACATTAAAAACTGCCATTGTTTGTAGCACCTAGTAAATAGAATTGTTGGACATAGCAAGTGAAAATGAATTATCAATATAGACATCAAAATCGAGCACATCTTTAAGTTGAATAAAACGTTTTCGCATCAATTGATCACGAAAAATGGTGCTGAACTAAGCATTGGCCTCTATCGGACCCAGAAAAATCAAGTCCTACGATAAAATATTCCACTGGTTATGCCATTATATCTTATCCTTTTATCATCTCATAATAGCAACAAGAAAATGGTAATAAAACTACTCACACTAAGACACAACATGAATAAATGAGAGTGACTACGAAGACCAAAGGCACCTATATTTATCAAAAGACCCTCAGCCGTGGAATGTCCGTGGAGTGTTAGCATGACGAGACCATACTTAGATAGTCTGAAAAACATAAGTCAGTAATAGTCCGATTCCAGACATTCGTCAAAGACAATCTCACACTTCTCAGATCCTCGATCAAATGATGAAATTCTCCCAATTGATTCTATGCAATGTCGTTCCATCCCCTCGTAGCAGTGTAGTTCCATCCTCTCGAGGACTTTAGCATTCTTCAAGAAATATCTAACCATGTCAAATTCATTCTCATCTGTACCATCCAATTCATGAATTTGTACTATTTTAAGATGTGATGACAGGCAATTAGGCACTTGGAGGGGAGCCATTAACCAGCGTTTTCGCTTATGATAAACCTGAAAATGAAACAGAAAGGTAAACAAATGCCACAAACCAGCTGGCCTTACCAATTGAAAAAAAAAAAAAAAAGGAAATGGTTACATTGTTGCGGATAATAAGGACTTTAAGTTTATCAGCCTTCTCTAGGAAATATGGGAGGAACCACCAATCGACTTGCAGGTCGAGTTTTATTAAATTGTGAAGCTTCATGATTGAATTAGCCATAGGCAACTGGACGGGTTCCATCTCGCGCTCCGGTTCCTGATAGTGTATGACCTGATGATGAAATAAAAAGAAAACAAACATGGCCGGACCATCAATCACATATAACCATACAAGTTGAAAATACGGACGAAACAATTGGACTAACATTAAGGACTTGAAGCATGTCAGCCTTCTCCACGAAATTTGAGATGAATTGCCATTCACCCTTCACCGTGAGTTTGGCTAAATTGGGAAACTTTATGTTCAAATAATCAGGGGTAAAGTGAGGAACCTGGAGGAAAACAAAGATTACAAAAAGAAAGAGAGAAGAAAAGGCAAAAGGAGATGGAAAAAAACAGGGTTTACCTTCCAACCCCTATCCCAAGCACATAAGCTCATTTCTTTTACAGTAGATAACCTACTCACAAATTCTACTAGGGAACGAGAATAAAGATCATCGTCGGAATGGTAAACATCAATGTGTGCTTCAATTAAGGCGTCCATCGACCCAACCGAGAAATTATTGGGGATACTATACGGTAGTAATAGATAATCAAGCGCAGGAGTATCTATCTTCACCTTGTAAGGGAAGTGACAATCGATGACCAACCTCTTCATGGTGGACGAAGATATGCAATGCGATACATGTTCGTTACATCCGTTGTAGGTGAACTCTTCGAGCACGGGACAACCGGAAATCAGGTTTTCGAGGGAGCCCTTAAGGTTAGCAGACCCAATATGAAGCCTCTTGAGTGCTGGTAAACACACAGTGACATTCTTCAACTTAATATTGAAATAAGTGATCTTCAAATCAATTAGGGTATCGGAGGTGAGCACACAAGGGGGCAAAGATTCAAAGTCACACAGTAACCTAAGATCGAGAGTTTTCAACTTGCAGGCAAAGGCGCGCTCGAGGTGCGCCTCAAGTTTATGCTCCCAGAAGAAACCCCTGTGGAGGCGAAGTGTGATCACGCTGTGCCTGTGCGCTTCACATTGGGACAGAATCTTTCTCAGTACGTCTTCGAACTCGCTATGATCGGATATTGTATCCATAGAACTCGATCGGCGATCGGTGAATTGTATGTTAAGGGCGTAAGCCAATAAAAACCTCCATCTTGCGGCGAGGATCCTGGTGGAGATTGAGGTTTTCAAGGGGAGAAAAGAGAGGATGTGAGAGAGGAGTTCGTCGGGCAAGGCGCTGAGCCTGTCGTCGATTGAGGCCATAAATCGTGCAAGTGATGTTCATCATTTTAGATTAGGTTATATTGTATATGAACTTCCCTACATTCAAAATCTACACATTTTCTACCTTTATATAAAATGATGATACAAAATTAAGTTAAATGTGAAACGAAATGAGATTAGGTAAATATGTAATTAAAATATAGCAAGATAAACGAAAATAAAATTATGTGATAAGTTTATTTAAAATAAAAGAAGGTAAATCGAATTAACTAATAAAATAAACCTGATTAAAATTATTGAAAAATTACATTAAACTTAAATTAAGACAAATATTGAATATAATAATATATATATATAGTAAATAATAAGTAATACGATAAACTATAATTAAATAAAAAAATATAAATTGAAAATAAAATGAAATACAATAATCTATTTTTTAACTACTAATTTTATTTATTTTTTTGTTCGTAATTAATATTAATAAATAAAAATAATGAAAATAGAAAGGAAGATAAATGGAAATTAAAATAAATAAAAAATATAAAAAAAAACAAGTTAAATGAAGTAAATAGTAAATAGAATAAATTTAGTTAAATGTATTCTAAATAAATAACATAATGTAAAATGAAATAGTATGAAGATTTTAATCAAAATTGAATAAGATAAACTGATATAAAAAAGAATATAAATGAAATTTAAATAATTTGATAAATACATTCAAATTAAATAAGATAAATTTAATTAAACAACAAAAATTAAGATGAACAAATAAAAAATGCCAAATAATTTTTGTAATGCAATACCAAAAATCAAGTCCTACAATAAAATTTCGGGGAAATTTTTCTTAACCTCCCAAAGTATGCCATTTTTTAGAGTTTGTCATACAAACTTTATGTTTTAACAATTTGTCTCCCAATGTAATCGAAACTGACAATTTACCTCCTCAATTAAAAACTCTAATATGGCACAATTTTTTTTTAACTCAATTAATGATAAATTTTAAATTAATCTTTAAAATTGATTTAGGACTTTCAAAGCCCATGACAAATTCTGTAAAGTGATACTACTATAATCGATCAACGAAGATAGTAGGAGCACATGTGCATAGAAAAAATTTCAATTCAAGTTTTCTGATAATAGAGACATCTGATTTTCGATTGAGAAGTGTCATTTGATAGCTTGTAGGACCAATTTTTTAACCATAAATCTTGTGAAGATCCAACGGTTGGATTTTGATTCGTATTTAGAAAACTACTGATCAATAGTTAGTTTTTTTAGGCTACTAACCAAAATCTGATCGTTAGATTTTCATAAGATTTATTTCAATAGAAAACTCGTCCTCTAAGGTTTGAAATGACACCTCCCAATCGAAAATTAGATATCTTGATTATCAAAAAATTGAATTGATATTTTTTCTATACACACGTGCTCCTGCTATTTTAGTGGATCGATTATAGAAGTATAAATTTTCATAAATCGACAAGTCATACCTCATTTTGTTCTTATGACCGTGACCTTTAAAACCTTAAATCAATTTTAAAGATTAATTTAGAATTTATCATCAATTGAGTTAAACACTCTTTTGTGCCATATTAGGATTTTTAATCGAAAAGGCAAATTATCAGTTTCGATTACATTGAAAGACAAATTATCAAAAAATAAAGTTTTTATGACAAACTCTAAAAAATAACATACTTAAGATTTCCCACTATAATTTTATTGGCTGAAACAATGAAATAAAAAATGTATAGATAGACATTCCCATAAAGAAATGGAAAGCAGATCATTTTCTAATAAAAAATGACCATTTCCATTGCACGGAGAGAAAAAAAATAAATAAATAAAAAATTATTGTCATATTTAAAATGTAAATGCATATATTCCACTGGTTATGCCATTATATCTTATCCTTTTATCATATCATAATAGCAACAAGAATAGGGTAATAAAACTACTCACAATAAGACACGCATGAATAAATGAGAGTGATATACGAAGACAAAGGCAGTTACATTTATCAAAAGACCCTCAGCCGTGGAGTGTTAGCATGACGAGACCATACTTAGATCGTGTCAAAAACATAAGTCAGTCATTGTCCGATTCCGGATGTTCGTAGAAGACAATCTCACACTTCTCAGATCCTCGATCAAATGATGAATTTCTCTCAATCGATGAAATTCTGTCAACCGATTCTGCTAAGCAATGTAGTTCCATCCTCTCCAAGACTTTAGCATTCTTCAAGAAATATCTAACCATGTCAACTTCATGCTCATCAGTACCATCCAATTCATGAATTTGTACTATTTTAAGATGTGAGGACAGGCAATTAGGCATTTGGAGGGGAGTCATTAACCAGCGTTTTCGTTTATACTTACTATATACCTGAAAATGAAACAGAAATGTAAACAAGTGCCACAGACCAGCTGGACTTCATCAATTAGAAATAAAAAGGAAATGGTTACATTGTTGCGGATAATAAGGACTTTAAGTTTATCAGCCTTCTCTAGGAAATATGTGAGGAACCACCAATCGACTTGCAGTTCGAGTTCTATTAAATTGTGAAGCTTCATGATTGAATTAGCCATAGACAACTGGACAGGTTCCATCTCGCATTTTGGTTCCGGATAGTGTATGACCTGATGATGAAAAAAAAAAAGAAAACAAATGCAGAACATGGCCGGGCCATCAATCACATATAACCATACAAGTTGAAAATACGGACGAAACAATAGAACTAACATTAAGGACTTCAAGCATGTTAGCCTTCTCCACAAAATACGAGATGAAACGCCAATCACCTTTCACCGTGAGTTTGGCTAAATTGTGAAAATTTATGTTCAAATCATCAGGGGTAAACTCAGGAGCCTAGAGGAAAACAAAGATTACAAAAAGAAAGAAAAACAGAGAGAAGAAAAGGCAAAAGGAGATGGAGAAAACAGGGCGTACCTTCCAACCCCAATCCCAAAGACATAAGCTCATTTCTTTTACACTAGATAACCTACCCACAAATTCTACCAGGGAACGAGAATAAAGATCATCGTCGAAATGGAAAACAACAATGTGTGCTTCAATTAAGGAGTCCATCGACCCAAACGAGACATTACGGGGGATATCATAATCATACCGTAGTGACAGATAATCAAGCGCAGGAGTATCTATCTTCACCTTGTAAGGGAAGTCACATTCGAGGACCAACCTCTTCATAGTGGACGAAGATATGCAATGGCATACATGTTCGATACGTCCGATATAGGTGAACTCTTCGAGCACGGGACAACCGGAAATCAGGTTTTCGAGGGAGCCGTCAAGGACAGCAGTCTCAATATGAAGCCTCTTGAGGGCTGGTAAACACACGGTGATATTCTTCATCTTAATATCGAAAAACTTGATCTTCAAATTAATTAGGGTATCGGAGGTGAGCACACACAGGGGTAAAGATTCAATTTCACGCAAACTAAGATCGAGAGTTTTCAACTTGCACGCAAAGGCGGTCTCGAGGTACGCCTGAAGTTTATGCTCCCAGAAGACTTCCCTGTGGAGGCGAAGTGTGATCACGCTGTGCCCGTGCGCTTCACACTGGGACAGAATCTTTCTAAGGACGTCTTCGAACTTTCTATCACTGTATATTGTATCCATAGAACTCGATGGGCGATCGGTGAATTGTATGTTAAGGGCATAAGCCAATAAAAACCTCCATCTTGCGGCGAGGGTCCTGGTGGAGACGGAGGTTTTCAAGGGGAGAAAAGAGAGGATGTGAGAGATGATTTCGTCGGGCAAGGCGCTGAGCCTGTCGATTGAGGCCATGAGAGGATGTAAAGGGAATTGCCGAGTTAGGGTTTTTTTTTTTTTTTTTT